CAGCACAGGAACACTGAGTCTTGTTAAAATCCAGATCTTGTTGTAAACCCAGAGGTGGATGATCTGGATCTTGTGTGTCTGTGTTTGTTCTTCAGGTCGGTTTCTGGGGTTTAGGAAACTCGGGGTTCAGGTGTTCACCCTGTGACTGCGACATCGGAGGAGCTCACAGTAACACGTACGTACGAATGTTCGAGTCGGCGTGTGGACACACACGAAGATCCGAGTCTTAAAGATGAGAGTCTGTTTATTTCCTTCACCGTGAGTTCACACCGAGCGGGGATGAAATCATTCACACGAGTAACTAACATGTAAAGTCTATGATGTGATGGTCTGAGACCACCTGAGACCACCTGAGACCACCTGAACTGCTCTGAGACCACCTGAGACCACCTGAACTGCTCTGAGACCACCTGAGACCACCTGAACTGCTCTGAGACCACCTGAGACCACCTGAACTGCTCTGAGACCACCTGAGACCACCTGAACTGCTCTGAGACCACCTGAGACCACCTAAAGGTCTGAGACCACCTGAACTGCTCTGAGACCACCTGAGACCACTTGAACTTGTCTGAGACCACCTGGGCTGTTCTGAGACTCTAAGACCGGACTAATGAAGAGCCTAGCTGGAGGACAGAGTCAGGAGGTCCACAGATCCTCACAGTGGGATAATCAACCTCAGATATGGTTACTATGGAAACGGCTCTCTGCAGAAACGTGACAAATGTGTGAATTTAACAAGTAAACGGTTTTATTCACGCTTGGTGTGAACGCAAGGTTTGAGCGCTGACACAGACGCCATCAGGTGAACAGGTGAACAGGTCAACAGGTCATCAGGTGAACAGGTAAACAGGTCAACAGGTAAACAGGTGAACAGGTGAACAGGTCAACAGGTCATCAGGTGAACAGGTAAACAGGTCAACAGGTAAACAGGTGAACAGGTGAACAGGTCATCAGGTCATCAGGTAAACAGGTGAACAGGTGAACAGGTCATCAGGTCATCAGGTGAACAGGTCAACAGGTGAACAGGTCATCAGGTCATCAGGTCATCAGGTCATCAGGTCAACAGGTGAACAGGTCATCAGGTCATCAGGTCAACAGGTGAACAGGTGAACAGGTGAACAGGTCATCAGGTAAACAGGTGAACAGGTGAACAGGTCAACAGGTCATCAGGTCAACAGGTCATCAGGTCATCAGGTCAACAGGTGAACAGGTGAACAGGTCAACAGGTGAACAGGTCAGCAGGTGAACAGGTCAACAGGTCATCAGGTCAACAGGTCATCAGGTAAACAGGTTAACAGGTCAACAGGTGAACAGGTGAACAGGTGAACAGGTCATCAGGTGAACAGGTCAACAGGTCAACAGGTCATCAGGTCAACAGGTCATCAGGTCATCAGGTCATCAGGTCAACAGGTCAACAGGTGAATGTTTTCTGCTCAGGTGTTCTCCTGAGGACGGACAGTGTCACTGTTTACCAAACATGGTGGGTCGACGCTGCTCAGACCCCGCTCCTGGTTACTTCCTGCCTCCACTTGACTATTTCCTGTATGAGGCAGAGCTCGCCACTCCACTCTTTGGTGGTCCCTCGCCATCTCCACTTCCTTCCCCACCTTCACCCTCGTCTTCTCTGGTGAGTAGCAGAATCTAACCTGCAGTATATCTGTGTACAAGAACCACTATGAAGTACTCTGTGTGCTCATTAGACATCCCATAATATGTACCGATGTTTTGGACTGTGGAGCTCCATGTAGGCGTCCTGTTGTTACCGTCTTATTTGCAGTACTGTGTGTACTTATACTCAGTATCACTTCCAGTTGAACCCGGCTCTGTTGCCGGACTGCGAGCAGTACTACAGAGAACAAGGTTACGATTTTAGATTCAGTAACGGACGAGTTGTTCTGGTGCGGCGGACTCGACGACTCGCACGCCGCAGGAGACAGGTGGGTCACATGACTGGGGTCCTGTAGTGCTGGCTTCACCATTGGAGGACCTGAGGACCAATCAGATCATTGATCAGACTCCTTTATTCCCTGAACCAGAGTTCTATCCCTCTAGACCCGGGTCATACCCTACAAATCATCCCCCGTCAGAGGTCAGCCGGCCACCCGGTCACCTGGACTGGGCTGGGATTGGTTCGAGTGCTGGAGGGGGCGGGGCTTCGATTCACGGTCGACAACCTCCCATCATCCATGGAATACCAGCTGGTGATTCGCTACGAGCCGGAGGTAACGTGAACTGTCAGGGTTCTGGTTCAGGTTCTGACTCTAAATTTTGATTGGCTCTATAGACTGTATACAAGATGGACGCCGTGGTTCCGCCTTCCGCCTGTTTACGGATTTGAAGCCAAAAAGTTCTCGGTAATTCGGGGTTTTTCTTCACTTCCTTGAAACCAGAGCTGTGCAGTAGCGTTGTGCGCATTCGGTGCAGTCGCCGAGAGTCTCTGTAATGACGCTCGGCTCAGACAGCGTATCCCCCGGTGATCTACTCAATCTCTGTCCTCCCATAGGCTGTATCAGGTGTCAATCATAGCAAACATGAACCCCCTAATAACTTTTAAAAATGGAGCTGTACAGAAAAAAGAGGACTTGAGCACAAACCAGTCTGACAGTAACTACATGTCAACATCACAACCAGGGGGGAGAAACATTTATATTCTGTGTCATTCATTTAGAAAGTTTGTCCACAGCTCCATAAGGAGGCGGGGTTTAGGACCTATACTGCAGCCCGTCACCAGAGGGCGCTGTTCTCACAGAGAGGAGGCAGACTCTGTCCATCTTATATACAGTCTATGATTGGCTCTGATTGTAATCATGATTCTGGTCTTGGTCCTGATCTTGGTTCTGGTTTCTCCATGTAGTGAAATAAATAATTAGGGAAGAATTTGTATTTTCTCAAGGCTGCATCTGATTGGCTGGCTTCTATCAGCATCACAACACTGTCGCCAGGCGACAGACGCTGCAGCAGAGACCCAACAGGAAGTACAAGTCTGATACTTCCTGGAAACTCCAGGTGAGATACCTCAGTTAGACCTCTGTGTGTGTGTGTGTGTGTGTGTGTGTGTGTGTGTGTGTGTGTGTGTGTGTGTGTGTGTGTGTGTGTGTGTAGTCACAGCTGTTGTTCAGTCATTTGTATTTGTTTTTTTTGTTTGTTTGTTTGTTTATTTTTTGTTTGTTTGTTTATTTGTTAATTTTTTGTTTATTTATTTGTTTATTTGTTTGTTTATTTGTTTGTTTGTTTGTTTATTTATTTTTTGTTTATTTGTTTGTTTGTTTGTTTGTTTGTTTGTATATTTGTTTGTTTGTTTATTTGTATATTTGTTTGTTTTTTATTTGTATATTTGTTTGTTTGTTTGTTTGTTTGTTTTTTGTTTGTTTGTTTGTTTATTTGTTTGTTTGTATATTTGTTTGTTTATTTGTTTATTTGTTTGTTTGTATATTTGTTTGTTTGTTTATTTGTTTATTTTTTGTTTGTTTGTTTGTTTATTTTTTGTTTGTTTGTTTGTTTATTTGTTTATTTGTATATTTGTTTGTTTCTTTGTTTATTTTTTGTTTATTTTTTGTTTGTTTGTTTGTTTGTTTATTTGTTTATTTGTTTGTTTGTTTGTTTGTTTGTTTATTCGTTTGTTTATTTTTTGTTTGTTTGTTTGTTTGTTTATTTTTTGTTTGTTTGTTTATTTGTTTATTTTTTGTTTTTTGTTTGTTTGTTTGTTTATTTGTTTATTTTTTTGTTTGTTTGTTTATTTGTTTATTCGTTTGTTTATTTTTTGTTTGTTTGTTTGTTTGTTTATTTTTTGTTTGTTTATTTGTTTATTTGTTCGTTTATTTGTTTATTTTTTGTTTGTTTGTTTATTTGTTTATTTGTTTGTTTATTTGTTTATTTTTTGTTTGTGTATTTGTTTGTTTGTTTGTTTGTTTGTTCACAGGGGGGGCGTTCTGGACTCGGTGGTGTGTCTGAATTCTGGTGGTCTTTATTTTATCGACATTGTGTTTAACAAACACTCGGGACCTGATGACTCATCCTCACATATCTTGATTGACTCGGTAAGGATGCCTTTTTTTAGATTGACAGGTCATTAGGCTCCTCCCCCGAACAGCACAGTCCAATCAGAGCTTAGCCTGCTTGTTGATTCTGACAGAAAACATTTAATAAGAGAAACTAAAGAGTCAGATCTTTTTCAGTAACCTCTTCTACATTCACATTTCCCTCAGATGGGTTTGATACCCAGTATCGAGTCCGTCCAGGATTTCTGCTCCCAGAACGACCTTGACACTTTCCGACGCTTTCGTTGCATCGGATTGGCCGCTGAGCTCAGTCAGGAACCAGTTCCAGAAATCTGTGAGGGTCTCATTAAGAGTATGTCGGCACGAATCCACAAAGGAGCCATTCGTAAGTTTTCAACAATGACTCATGAGTTTTAGTATAAATATTATAAATATAATAATATAATCTAATAAATATAAATTAATATAATATAAATATAAATAAATAATCATCTGTTTGATTTCGTAAAACCAGGCTTGACTCGGGACACTGTGTGAAATCAGGAACAGATGCTATAATAGATCTAACCTCTGTCTGTACAGGAGACATATTCATAAAGTGATATATCCCAGTGAACACACACACACACACACACACACACACACACACACACACACACAGTACAGGGTATTTTATGGAGAAGGGAAACAGCAGAAGGGGACAAAGCTTGATCCCAGACCCTGGATCTGGATCTGCGACTGGCTTGGAGCTGTGAGAAGGACAACTGCGCTGAATCGATCGCTGTTTCGCTTATTTGACACAATCCTCGGTCAGTAGATCATCCAGACCAGGACTTTTTCAGGGAAGACCTTCAGATGATCCAGAACCACATTCTGACAACAGCATGGCTCTGTAGGAGAAGAGTCCTGCTGAGGAACTGGACTGATGTGGTCCTGACTTGGAAACATTTGGACCATCCTGACCCCCAAAACAGCTGAAATCCTCGATCAGGGACATGAGTAGACTGTCAGACTCCAAAACCTGGTCTGCTGGGTTCACTAAGGTCTACAGAACCTGGTCTGCTGGGTTCACTAAGGTCTACAGAACCTGGTCAGCTGGGTCCACTAAGGTCTATAGGAAGAGCGTCTAGATGTTTTTTATTTGTAAAGATTAAAAATGTTGTTTTGATTTTGTTCTTGGAGTTTTATTTGAAAGTGAACTTTACTAAAATGTTCTTGGTTTTGATGAATCCATTAAATCACTGACAGCAGGTCTTCAAACAGCTGTTACTGAGTAGTATTATTATATTTAATAATTATTATTATTATTAGTGTTTATGGGTGAATCAGCATCAACACACCTGATGTTGTTGACAGACTTTTAAAAAATCCAACATTCGTAATTTTCACTTTTACTTCATAAAACTTTCATTTTAACGTCGACTTTCTTTGTTGTTTTTCCATTTTTTCCGATTCCAGCGTGCAGGTGTAACGTCGATGGCTCTCTCAGGCCGTCCTGCAGTAAACTGGGAGGTTACTGTGAATGTAAACCCAACGTGATTGGCCGTTGCTGTGATACTTGTTCACCACTGACATTTGGCTTTGGACCTGATGGCTGCAAAGGTAAGAAACACAAAAGAACCTTCAAAAGAACTCCTCTGGTTCTTCTGTGCTGATGCTGATCAGTTGGAGGTGGTCTCCTCTCTGCTCTTTGTTCTCAGCCTGTGAGTGTGACCCTCAGGGTTCACTGTCCGAGATGTGCGATCAGGTCAGAGGTCAGTGTGCGTGTCGGTCACAGGTCGCAGGCCGTCGCTGTGATCGCTGTCAGGCCGGGTTCTGGGGTTTTCCGTCCTGCCGAGTCTGCGAGTGTCACGGACACGCTGACGAGTGCGACCAGGAGACGGGAGAGTGTTTGAGGTGCAGAGATCACACCACAGGCCCTCAGTGTGACGGGTGAGATTCTCATTAAATATGAGAAATTCAAAGGTTGTTAAACGATCAATCCATGACGGCTTTGATCGTTTATTAACTTTACAGACCGTTGATCTGACGATGGTTCAGAAAACTTTAATCTGTAGACATGATGGTGTCATGGTACAGGTGTGTGGAGGGTTACCATGGTAACCCAGTCTCCCAGGAGCCCTGCAGGCCGTGCTTGTGTCCGGACATTCAGGGCAGTGGACGGTTCTTTGCAACTTCCTGCCTACAGGACCCAGAATCCACCGGTCCATCCTGTACCTGCAGGAAAGGTCACACAGGTGAGATCTCCGCCTCACACCTGCATACCTGTCCTCAGGTGTGTTCCTGGGTTCTTCTCAAGGTCGTATCATGCTGGTGAGACTCTTTTTATGAACATGACACTCCTGAACGTACAAAACTCTAAATATTCACAGGTGCACGCTGCGACAGGTGCAGCCCTGGTTTCTATGGCAACCTGGCCTTACCTGGGTCCAGCTGTGAGGAGTGTCTTTGTAACAACCACATCAACGTTGACGACCACAACGCCTGCGATAGTTTGACCGGAGAATGCCTGCGCTGTCTCCACAACACTATGGGACCACAGTGTGACACCTGCAAACCTGGTTACTATGGCAACGCCTTGGAGCAGGGCTGCAAAGGTAAAGATCAACATGTAAACTCATTTAGTGACTAATGACCTTGAGTTGACCTTCATAACTGACTGATGATCATTCAAATCCAGCAACTTTACCCATGATGCCAAAGAGGAGCAGGTGATCACCATGACAACCGTGTGAAATACTGTAACCCTCTAAATGACCCTCTGACTTCAGCAGATATAAAACCACATTAACCTTCAATGAAGACCCCCAACCAAAGACCCCCCATACTGTAGACCCCCAACCAAAGACCCTCCACCTTAGTCCCGATTACTTTGACCTTTCATAATTCCTCTGATGATATGAAGAAATAACCACCTTGAGCTTCAGCAGGAAACACCTGAGACCCCTGTCTCCCTAGTCTCCTCTGAGGTTCTGGTTCTGGTTCTGGTTCAGGATGGTTTCGTTTTAAAGTTTTTACCTTTAACCTCAGAGTGCTCCTGTGACCGGAGGGGAACTGAGATTGTCCTCTGCCCCCTGGAGAGTCCTTGTGTCTGTGACCCAAGGACAGGTCAGTGTCCCTGCAGGACGGGGGCGGCTGGAGTCCTTTGTGACTCCTGTGGGGACGGGTACTGGAACCTGGATGGACTGTCAGGATGTCAACCCTGCAACTGTGACCCTGTGAACTCAGAGTCCAACACCTGTGACAAGGTCAGACACGTGGATGTGACATTGATCATGTGACTTTGGTTCAGTCTCACCTGTGTTGGTTTTGTCGGTTCAGGTCAGCGGTCAGTGTCCGTGCCGGACTGAGTTTGGGGGCCGTCAGTGTGACGAATGTGGAGAGAATCACTTTGGGAATCGGGACCTTCAGTGTATCTGTGAGTGTTCACACCTGTCAGATTCAGGCTGATTGTGACACACCTGTCCTCTAAACACTCACCTGTCTTCTCTCAGCCTGTGACTGTAACATGGAGGGAACCCAGCGTCCATCATGTGACCCTGAAACTGGCGAGTGTATTTGTCGGGTCGGGGTGACGGGGATCCTTTGTGATCAGTGCGCCCCCGGATTTGACTTAGAGTTCCCCGCCTGCGAGCCGTGTCACGCTTGCACCGCCCTTTGGACTAACGACGTCACTGACGTTCAACGAGCCGCAGAACAGATGAGGACCTTCATCCCTCGCCGTGGTGACCAGTTTCAGCCTGGTGTCAGTCGCCAAGGGCAACAAATGTTTGACATGCACACGAGGCTGAACGGCCTCTCCAACCTGACGGCGATGTCACCCCCAAAGGTGGAGAAGATGGAGAAACTGTGCGCCATGATCGGGTACGAGCCGCTACCTTTAGGTTACCCAAGCTAATGCTAGTTTCAGGCTTACAACCTTTGACCCTCGACCACAGACCCTCAACCTAAGACCCTTAACCTTTGACCTTCCACTGAACTCCCTTTACCTAAAACCGTCCATCAAAGACCCTCAACCCTGAGAACCCTCAGTCTGATGGTCTCACAGCCCCTCCCCCCCAGACCCCCGATCCATGACTCCCCACTGACGTGTTTCTGGCTCTCTGACCTTTCATGGAGGTCAGGGGTCATCTGAATTTATTTAATTCTCCCTTTAGTGAGTCGAGTCTTTGACCACCTCTCAATTCTGTAAATCTGATTTTAATCCTTTTTTACAGGAAGCTGAAAGACGTTATTGATCCAAACATGATCCTGATCGATCAGTCTCCTCTCCTTAACTCTGAGATGGAAAACCTCCAACAAGAGTTCAAGAAGCTTCTGAACAACCTGAAGGAGAAATTAGACAATGAACCCGACACCAGAGACGAAAACACAGACGGTAAAAAGATCATCTGTTTCTAAATTAAAGTTAAAACAGACTGAATCAGTTTCAGACAAATTATCATTAAACGTATTTTAACGTATAATTGATCGATTACGATCTGGTCTTTGACGGACTCCTGTGGTCGATATTTTACCTTCTGTTCCTGTTTCAGGGATTCTGGACGAGATCCAGAAGCTTCATAAGTCTTTTATGTCGGATGAAAAAAGGGTCCGAAACGCCAACGAGGCCGTGGAGGACTCCATGGACATCAGACAGGACGCGAAACACAAACTGAGCATGTGCAGTGGAAGAGGAGACCTGGGACCTCTGGAGAAAAAGGTCAAAGAGCTCGATGTGGTCGACTTCAACCGAAAGGTGAGTGTCATCCAAAAACATCGAAAAACCCTGAACCAGCCAATCAGAGGCCGGGCCGAACGCGTGAACAGGTGTGAGTCATAACGAACTCAGTCTGTTTCAGGTCTGCGGTGAACCGGGTCTGCTGGACTGTTCTGGATGTGGGGGGGCTCTGTGTAGTCTGAGTCCAGGTACGAGAAACTGTGGAGGACCAGGCTGTGACGGGGTCCTACCTAAGAGCCGGAGAGCAACTGAGCATGCCCAGAACTCCCGGAAGGAGCTCGCCAACTTCCCGCTGAGACTGCAGGAGTCCATGGATAAGGCAGGCACACAACACTGGGAACACTGGGAACACTGGGAACACTGGGAATACTGGGAACACTGGGAACACTGGGAACACTGGGAATACTGGGAATACTGGGAACACTGGGTAGTACTGGGTAATACTGGGAATACTGGGAATACTGGGTAGTACTGGGCAGTACTGGGTAGTACCAGGAACATGGAACACTGTAAACTGTGGAAACACTCAGGTAAACTGGGAGCACTGGGAGAGTAATGGTGTTTAAATCAGGGAGCAGCCAGGAACCATTTCTTACTTCAAATTCAGGATCATCAACAAGAGGACCCGGGTTAGGGTTAGCCTGGAGGAGATTTAGTTCTGGTTCAGACCAGACCTGCTGTGATAAGATCCTGAACTTTAGAGATCCAGACCCTTCATTTAATCGGACCTTCTGGTTTTAGATCAATGATGCTAAAAAAGCAGCAAAGGACTCCAAAGACCGGGCCAAAGACCTTCAGGACCGGATCAACGACGACATGGACTCCTTCGAGAGAGAGAAACAGAAAACCAAAACCCTGATCCAGAAAGTCAAAGACTACTTGATGGGTACGTGTTTTTTTTTTTTAATCTGGTCTAAATTATCCGTCTTTGTGTCAGCGCCCCCCAGTGGTCTGTCTTTGCATAACAACCTCTGCCACTGCAGCAGGTTCTTCTGTGTGACCTCGACACAAACCGAGTTTTTTGGATGATGTTTCAAAGTTCTTGTTGTTCCACTGAAACAGAACCGTTCGTCACTGTTGTTCCCACACAGACGAGATGGTTCCTCCAGAGGACATTGAAAAATTAGCTCGAGCTGTCCTGGACATCCAGCTGCCAAAATCACCTGATCAGATCCAGTCCATGATTAACATGATCAATAAACTGCTGACCAACGCCACCAACTTCCAGGACGACCTGAAGAACCTGGAGGAGCAAGCAAAGACTGCCCAGGACCTTCTCCAGGAAGCCCGAGATCTCAGGTCAGTGAAAAGGTTCTCACGGACCTGCAGAGGCTGAAACACGGGGGGGTCCAGAGAAAACCAGTTCATCTCAACAAGAAGAAAACGGATCTCCAGTTCGTTTGGATAAAATCAGACAAACAGGAAACAAAGAAGTTTCATTTTAGATTATTGTCTTTATAGAGAACGGGCGAAAAACATCGATGTGACAGAGATCAGCAAAGACATTTACGACGCGGAGAGAGCTCAAGACAAAGCGAACAACAACCTGGAGACGGCCAGTGAAGACAGCGAGACCACCAAAGACTTCGTCCAGAACGTACAAATACGACAAACACCTCAAACATCGGAAACGACCTGACTGCTCTGTAAAACGTCGCTGCTTTACTGTTTCAGATTAAAGACAAACTGGACGACATCGAGTCGAAGTTGATGAATCGCCGACCTGAAGATCTGAAAGAGGAGATCGAAGAACTGAAGAACAAGACGGAACAGAACAAGAACCGGACCGAGGAGGTCCGAGAGGCAGCAGAACGAGCTTTAAACAGAACAGCTGACACACAGCCGGTGAGGCTACACACACACACACATGAACACACATACACACACACATGAACACACATGAACACACATGAACACACACACATGAACACACACACACACACATGAACACACATGAACACACACACACGAACACACACACACACACAAACATATACTAACACACACACACACACACACATGAACACACACACACGAACACACACACACACACACACATGAACACATACACACACACAGCCGGTGAGACTACACACACACACACACACACATGAACACACACACATGAACACACACACGAACACACACACACACACACACACACATAAACACATACGAACACATACACACACACACACACACACACACACATGAACACACACACACACACACACACATAAACACATACGAACACACACACACACACACACACACACATTAACACACACATACACACACACACACACACACACACACGAACACACACACACACACACACACACACACACACACATACACACACACACACACATAAACACATACACACACACACACACATTAACACACACATACACACACACACACACACCCCAGCCAATCAAATCTTTGAATGGAAAATATTTCAGCCAATCAGAATTGACCGACTGTGTCTCGGACAGGAAATGGACGACGTCCTGAAACTGTTTGAACTTTTAAAAGAGAAAAACTCGAGCGCTGAAGGTCAGAGCGAGACGGGAGAACGACTGAAGAAGATCCTGGACGAGGCGGACGCCATGAAGAAGCAAACGGAGGACAAACTTTCACAAATACAAGGTACTTCTACTACATCAAATACACAGACTACTACAAACACTGTCGTGTTAGTACTGCTAGAACTACGCCGTCATGAACATGAAGAGTTTACAGCTGCAGCCTGGGGCCTCTCATGCTCGGCGGGTGTTCAGTGGCCACACCCCCAATATTCGCCGTTTTCATTCCCGTCTGTATTTGTGTTTGTTGGAAATCCACATTTAAACACAGGAACCGTCAAAAGAGCGACTCGTGGACAAAGATTAAAATGATTGAGTTATTATTGATTCCTCATCATTCTGGACTTTTTATATATGTAAAGATTTTACGTTATGACTCTTCGGCATCAGTGATTAAATGATCGACCGAGATCATCAAACATGACAAAGTATAAACTATAATTACTGCATTAAAAGTTCGTTTCAAACAGACAGCAGGTGAAGCTCAAAGACACTGACCTTAAAAAAATTTAGTGATAAAAGTCTTTACGTACTTTCTCAAATAAAGAGAAGACGTTCATATTTCAATAGAGCGCTATAAACTTCAACGTCTGCAACGAAAACTGAAGAGGAAGGACCGAGGTGCAGAGCTCAAAATTTCAATTAAAGCAAAGACTAAACTTAAAAAAACAGACAAACAAAAAAAACCTGTTGAAGAAAATGTCTGACAGAAAAATCCAAAAACACCAGGAGCAGAAATCCGATGAATCAAAACGGCATCAGGAACGTACGAGAAAAACTCAGGATAGAGAAGAACGGACAGAATCGACACAAGGACGCGCCGAGACGATAAACAAAAGGAGAGGCAGGAACTTTATACACAAACAAACCAAAACAACAACAGATTAGACTGATGAGCGATCAACAAAAGAGGAAAAACGTAAAAAAATAAGATTAAATAAACAAGAACTGACTACGAAAAATAAATCAGAAAACACTGAAAAACTAGACTAAGACGACAAACAGCGAAAAACAAGAACAACAGAAACACGAGAAGAATAAGAAACAGGAAAAACAGAAAAATGAGAAACAGGAAAATCAGAAAAATGAGAAACAGAAACAGCAGGAACAAAAGGAGAACGAGAAACGACTAAAAAAGGGGTGAGAAAAAGAAGTATGAGGTCATGAGCTGAGAGTCTGAGAAATGAGAGTCTG